TAAACCAGTGTTTAGAGGGAAATGTATAGCACTAAATGCCCACAAGAGAAAGCGAGAAAGATCTAAAATCGACACTCTAACATCAAAATTAAAAGAACTAGAGAAGCAAGAGCAAACACATTCAAAAGCTAGCAGAAGGCAAGAAATAACTAAGATCAGAACAGAGCTGAAGGAGATACAGACAAAAAAAAAAAACTTCAAAAAATCAATAAATTTAGCAGCTGTTTTTTTAAAGATTAACAAATTAGACAGACCACTAGCCAGACTAACAAGAAGAATCAAATAGACACAACAAAGAAGAATCAAACAGACACAACAAAAAATGATAGAGGAGTATCACCACTGATCCCACAGAAATCATCAGGGAATACCATAAACACCTCCATGCAAGTAAACTAGGAAATTCATATGAAAAGGATAAATTCCTGGACACATACACCCTCCCAAGACTAAACCAGGAAGAAGTCAAATCTCTGAATAGACTAATAATAAGTTCCGAAATTGAGGCAGTAATTAATACCCTATCAACAACAAAAAAAGTCCAGCACCAGACCAATTCACAGACGAATTCTACCAGAGGTACAAAGAAGAGCTGGTACCATTCCTTCTGAAACTATTCCAAACAATGAAAAAGAGGGACTCCTCCCTAATTCATTTTATGAGGCCAGTATCATCCTGATGCAAAACCCTAGCAGAGACACAACAAAAAAAGAAAATTTCAGGCCAATATTCCTAATGAACATCAATGCAAAAATCCTCAATAAAATACTGGCAAACCAAACCCAGCAGCACATCAAAAAGCTTATTGACCACGATCAAGTCAACTTCATTCCAAGGATGCAAGGCTGGTTCAATATACACAAATCAATAAATGTAATCTGTCACATAAAAAGAACCAATGACAAAAACCACATGATTATCTCAAGCGATGCAGAAAAGGCCTTCAATAAAATTCAACACCCCTTCGTGCTAAAAACTCTCAATAAACTAAGTATTGATGGAACATATCTCAAAATAATAAGAGTTATTTATGACAATCAATAAACATAATCCATCACACAAAAAGAACCAATGACAAAAACCACATAATTATCTCAATAGATGCAGAAAAGGCCTTCGATAAAATTCAACACCCCTTCGGGCTAAAAACTGTCAATAAACTAAGCATTAATGGAATGTATCTCAAAATAGTAAGAGTTACTTATGACAAACCCACAGCTAATATCATACTGAATGGGCAAAAGCTAGAAGGATTCCCTTTGAAAACTGGCACAAGACAAGGATGCCCTCTCTCACCACTCCTATTCAACATAGTATTGGAAATTCTGGCCAGCACAATCAGGCAAGAGAAAGAAATAAAGGGTATTCAAATAGGAAGAGAGGAAGTTAAATTGTCTCTGTTTGCAGATGACATGATTCCACATTTAGAAAACCCCATCGTCTCAGCCCAAAAACTCCTTAAACTTCAGTGAAGTCTCAGGATACAAAATCCATGTGCAAAAATCACAAGGATTCCTATACACCAATAATAGACAAATAGAGTACCAAATCATGAGTGAACTCCCATTCACAATTGCTACCAAGAGAATAAAATACCTAGGAATACAATTTACAAGAGATGTGAAGGATCTCTTCAAGGAGAACTACAAACCACTGCTCAAGGAAATAAGAACTACAAACCACTACTCAAGGAAGTAAGAGAGGACACAAACAAATGGAAGAACATTCCATGCTCATGGATAGGAAGAATCAATATCGTGAAAATGGCCATACTGCCCAAAGAATTTACAGATTCAATGCTATTCCAATCAAGCTACCATTGATTTTCTTCACAGAATTAGAGAAATCCACTTTAAATTTCATACGGAACCAAAAAAGAGCCCATATAGCCAAGAAAATCTTAAGCAAAAATAACAAAGCTGGAGGCATCACGCTACCCAACTTCAAACTGTACTACAAGGTTACAGTAACCGAAACAGCATGGTACTGGTACCAAGACAGACATATAGACCAATGAAACAGAACAGAGGCCTCAGAAACAACACCACACATCTACAACCATCTGATCTTTGACAAACCTGACAAAAACTAGCAACGGAGAAAGGGTTCCCTATTTAATAAATGGTGTTGGGAAAACTGGCTAGCCATATGCAGAAAACTGAAAGTAGACCCCTTCCTTACACCTTACACAAAAATTAACTCAGTTCTGAAGGAGGTCAGGGTCAACATGGATTAAAGACTTAAACGTAAGACCTAAAACCATAGAAACCCTAGAAGAAAACCTAGGCAATACCATTCAGGACAAAGGCATGGGCAAAGACTTCATAACTAAAACACCAAAAGCAATGGCAACAAAAGCCAAAATTGACAAATGGGATCTAATTAAACTAAAGAGCTTCTGCATAGCAACAATAAATAATCCAGAGTGAACAGGCACCTACCAAAATAGGAGGAGAACATTTGTTCCAATCCCATCTATCTGACAAGGGGCTAATATCAAATCTAAAGAATTTAAACAAAATTACAAGAAAAAAACAACACACTGTCAAAAAAGTGGGCAAAGGATATGAACAGGCACTATCAGAAAAAGATAGTTTAATGGCCAACAACATGCAAAAAGCTCCTCATCACCTGGTCATTAAAAGCAACTGCAAATCAAAACCACAACAAGATACCATCTCACACCAGTTAGAATGGCGATCCATTAAAGAGAAGTCAGGAAACCGACAGATGCGCGAGACGGACTTGTGAGAAATAGGAATGCTTTTACACTGTTGGTTGGAGTGTAAATTAGTTCAAGCACTGTGAAAGACAGTGTGGCAATTCCTCACGGAATTGCCTTCAACACCCCTTCAGAAAACTACACTGCAGAAAACTACACTGCAGTGCACACTGTCCCTCAGGATCTCGAACTAGAAATACCATTTGACCCAGCAATCCCATTACTGGGTATATACCCAAAGGATTATAAATCATTCTACTATAAAGACAAATGCACCCGTATGTTTATTGCAGCACTATTCACAACAGCAAAGACTTGGAACCAACCCAAATGCCCATCAATAACAGACTGGATAAAAAAAATGTGGCACATATACACTATGGAATACTACGCAGCCATAAAAAAGTATGAGTTCATGTCCCTGGCAGGGACATGGATGAAGCTGGAAACCATCATTCGCAGCGAACTTACACTGGAACAGAAAACCAAATACCGCATGTTCTCACTCATAAGTGGGATTTGAACAATGAGAACATATGGGCACAGAGAGGGGAACATGACACAACGTGGCCTATTGGGGTTGGGGGGCAGGGGAAGGGAAAGCATTAGGAGAAATATCTAATGTAGATGACGGGTTGATGGGTGCAGCAAACCACCATGACACGTGCATATGTATTTAACAAATCTCCACGTTCTGCACATGTATCCCAGAACTTAAAGTATAATAAAAACTTGAAAAAACAAATGGAGAAAGACAAGAACGCAGAATTGGTTATAGCCCAGGGAAGCAGAGGAGAGGGAAGATGACTATAGGATCAGCTTATTCTGGATAGATTCTTGAAGGGCTGGACCTGGGGCTATAAGCGAGGAAAGCCTCTTCTATGTACCTTGGCATAATCATACTGACTTCCAACAGTTACTGTTTCCTCAGTAAAACTGTTGAAATTGGCCGGGCGCGGCGGCTCAAGCCTGTAATCCCAGCACTTTGGGAGGCCGAGAATTTTTTTTTTTTTTGTTTTTATGTAGACGGGTGTTGTTGCTCTGTAGCCGGGGCTGTAGTGCAGTGGTGCGGATCTCAGCCTCACTGAAACTCCGCCTCCCGGGTTCCCAGCATTGTCCTTGCTCAGCACTTCCGCGAGTAGCGGACTACAGGCGCCCGGCCACCCTCGCTCCCGGCTGGTTTTTGTATTTGTAGAGACGGGGTTCTCACCGTGTTAGGCCAGGATGGTTCCGGATCTCGCTGACCTCGTGATCTGGCCCGTCTCGGTACCCTCCCAAAGTGCTGAGTATGTCGCTGAGCCATCGCGGCCGGCCTTTTTTTTTTTTTTTGAGACGTGTCGGGTCCTCTGTTAGGCCAGGCTGGAGTGCAGTGGCCGTGAATCTCAGCTTCACTGCCAGCTCGCC